ATATCAAAGTCGTTGCACCTGATCAAAACACTGACAATACGACCTTGTGAGTCCTTCTTCCAAGATACGATTTCGTTTGAGCATTTCGAAGAAATCAAGGTGACGACACCACCCTGTTTCCCGGAGGCAGGGGACCAAAAACTACGGCCCAGCCATCTACGGGATAGAGATTTAATAGTAGATTTAGAATAAATTAACGTTTCTTGTACAAAACAGACATCAGAGTTGGACTTCTCGATCAAATCAAACAAGAAATTGTAGGTAAGGGGGTTTGCTAGCCCCCTTGCATTAATAGTTAAGAGTTTGAAAGAACTTGGAAAAAAGACTCACTTAAAAAAATAAATACTTACTTTGACTTTTTAGAGTGTCTATTTTTTCTTTTTTTTTTTCGTGGGGGTAGTTTCTTTTCGACTTGGAGATACATCAGATGATTTTCTTTTGAGATCGTGAGTGGTTTCCATATCATTTTCGGTTTCAGGGGTATACAGTGGATGAGAGGAGGCTGTGGTAGGAGCAGGTATCGATGAGCGTGGCTTTCCAGTGGTGAGCGTAGGTGTAGTAGGTTTACGAGTGCAGGCAAGGGACAGTTCAGGCAAGCGAGCAGGTGTGCGACGGGATGATGGCTTGATGGGTTTGGGAGCAATGACACCATGAGGATCCAGAATCGGGGAGTCAGAAGAGATGGATGAGGGTTGATGAGATTGTTCAGAGAGATTGTGCGAGGGCAGTTCGGGTTGAGAGTGTTGCTGTTCGGGTTGAGAGTGTTGCAAAGGCTGTTCGGGTTGAGAAAGTTGCTCAGACGGTTCAGGTTGAGAGGGTGGCTGAGTCTCGTTGGAATCGTCGGGCGGTGGAGAGGATGGAGGATCTTTCGTACAGATGTTGGCGGATGGTGAAGGATTTTGCGTACAATTTTCGTCGGTGGATGGTGGAGGATTTTGCGTACAATTTTCGTCGGCGGATGGTGGAGGATTTTGCGTACAATTTTCGTCGGTGGATGATTTTGGCGGCAGGAGAACAGAGGCGAGAGGGAGGTTTTCGTCTATTTCTTCGTCAATATTCACATCTTGGTTTTCGTCAGTGTGAGTGCCATGAACTGTTGGGAACACCCAGGAGTATTCGCAGTTCACGCCAAAGTAACCTTCCTGCTTACAAATACAGCACAATAAGGGGCGTGAACAATCACGGGCTTCGTGGCCAACACCTTCGCAATTGAAGCAAATTTTGTTTGTGCAAGCGTTGCTGAAATGGTCTGGACGATTGCATTTTCGGCAGGTTGGGTTCTGACCGTTGTATTTAATAAAAATCTGGTACTTCCCAAAACGAAGAAAGCTGGGAATGGGCTAAATGATACGGACTCTGTAATGTCGGAGACCATTATAAATGTTGGGCGCGTACGAGTGTTTTCCTCGGCGATAATGAATGACTTCACAGTAGGGCGTAAGGCGTTTAATTATTGCAAGTTCAGACAGTTCGAAAGGAGCGTCGTAGATAGTTAGGAAAGTGAGCGGTTTGTCGATGTCTTGAAGGGCGAAAGGTTCGGAATCAATGTTGAGAGAATTTAGGCGTAGGAACTGTTCTTTGGCGGCAATAGATTTGAAGGTGACCACAACTTCACCGTTGAGTTTACGTTGTAAACACTGAATGTCGGTCGGAGAGACATTACACTCGGCAAAAGCATCAAATACAGCACGGCG